GCACCCGCGCGCGTGCCGTCCCCCCACCCGCCGGGAATCGATGCTGGAGAAGGAAACTCGGGGAGAGAAAGTCTAGAAGATGAGGAGAAATGATCCTGCTCAGCTTTTTCTCCAGGATCTCTCCCACTCCAGACCCGTCTCCGCACGCCGGGCACCGGCACCTATTCGCGGAGGGACGTCGCTTCCCTTTTTCCTCTCCTGGCTGGTCGAAACCACTAAGAAGAAGGTCCCTGATCTTCTCCCGACCGCGACACCCACCCCAGCCTCGCACCTCTGCTCACTGTGAAACGACCCCCGCCTCCGCCATCCCCCTCCGGCCGCTCTGGATGTGTAGGGACTGTTTACAAAGCGCTCCGGCCCCGGCTTCCCAAGGATGCTGCTCGATCCCGGGCGACCCGCTAGCCCCGCTCCCGCCGAGCGTTTCTGTTTTCGGATGGGACCTTTGTAGCAAAACAAAACAAAACAAAAAAACAACAAAAAAACCCACCCTGAATCTCTGAATCTCGTTGGTTTTTAACTCTACTCCAGCACGTGGAGGCGTTACGGGTAGTTGGGAGAAGGAACGTCTGGATTTTCCGTATGGTGCCGTCGTGAGCGGCGTTTAATAAATTTTAAAGGTTTTTATTTTCTCGGGTGGCTGGATGGCCCGGGGCAGGACGGCGGCGCGGGTGAGTATCGGATGGAGCCGGGGAGCGGGCGAAGGAGGTTTTTTGGGATCACCCCGTTGTCCATCTGGGCTGCGAGACCTGGTCCTCGCTGCTGGAAAGCAGAGAGGGAACCCGGGCGACGGCCCCACCGGGATTGCGGCAGCCCAGACCCAGCACCGAGCGAGTAAATCCACTCCCACACGCACACCGCTCCTTCCAAGCTTTTTTTCCACTTGGAATTTCCTAGAAAATCATCAGAATTGCTGGGAAAAAACCCAAACATCCTCGCCAAGACTGCGTAACCTCGCTCATCCGACGGCGGAAAAGCCGGTAGACGGAGATGCCGCGGCCCGAAAAGGGCAAGAGCTGGTTCCCAGGGGATCCTCAGGGAGGGATGAGGGGGATTCACCCTCCAAGGGTTGGTTTATTTTCATTTTTGGAGTGTTTTTTGGGGTTTTTTTTGGCCTGGCTTTTGGACAGAAGGCTGGTTCTCGCGGGGACTCGCCTGCGTGGAAAATCTCAACCCCTCCGAGCGCCGGCGGTGCCTCTCTGCCCTCCGAGAGCTGGGGATTAGATCAAGGAAATGAGGCACAAGCAGAGGTAAGAGGTTTCCTGAAATCCTTGCCAAGGCTCGACTTATTAAACCAGCCTTCCTGAGCTGAAGAAAAAAAAAAAAAATCCCCAAAAACTCACAAAAACACACAACTCCCGGAGATTTTTTGCCCGCGCTCGGCGATTTTAAAAGCAAAAGGGACTCGGGTCCCAGTTTGCACCCCGTTTTTTTCCCTCCCCGCACCCCTGCTTTGCTTGGCTGCTGCTTGCAGCGTGTTCCTGGGCTCGGGGAGGGTTTTGCAAAGTCCGTTTAATTATTAACGAGCAGCTCTTTAATTATTAACGAGCAGCTCCTGCCCTTAGCGAGAGGGTAACGGGACTGGGGACGAGGACGGTGCCGGATTTTGGGGCAGGCAGGTTTATGGGAGCAGCTATCAAATGCTTTTGGAGTCTTTGGGATGGTTTTATCCATCCTTCAGCCTGGAAAACCAGGCTCGAGAGGAGACAGGAGCACCTTAAAAACCCCCTTTAGTCCAAAACTCTTGTTTTCTCCTCGTTTTTTGGAGCGGTCAGACCCTTCGGAAGTGCTCAGCACAACCAGTCGTGCGATGGGTGCGATCCTGCCCCATGGGGGAAAAATCTCTGATGGTTCTTCCCAAAATTTCTGCCAGCCCTTCCCAAAATTTCTGCCAGCCCTTCCCAAAAATCTCTGTCGGCCCTTCCCAAAATCCCCATTGTCCCTTGCCAAAATCTCTGCTATCTCTTCAAAATCTCCACCGTCCCTTCCCAAAATCTCCTCTATGCCTTCCCAAAATCTCCTCCATCCCTTCCCAAAATCCCACCGTCCCATCCCCATCCCCATCCATGCCACTGACCATCTCCGGAGCTCTTCTCCCTCGAGCACCCTCCTGGTTGCTGTTTTCGCACATGCCTAAAATTTGCAGGTTTTTATCTCAAGGGGCGGCTGGATTTTTAGGGAATCATCCCCAACTTCA